TAACGAAATGGTAACCACTCAAATTTGCCGACATCGAATTTCCGACGGAATTAGTTCCCTCGGTATGAGCTGACCAGTCAAACTTTGCCGACATCGGAAAATCGGATTTCCGTCGGGATTCCGTCGGAAAGTCGTCAGAATATTACGACAGTTTATATCCGTTGGAAATCCGTCGTCTTGTACCGACGGAATACAGACGGTTTTATCGACCGTCGGTATTCCGTCGGAATTTTGCGACGGATTTTCGACGGATTAATTTTGGTCGCAATTGTGTCGGTAAACCGTCGAAATAGTGGCTGTTTTCTTGTAGTGATTATATTAGTGTTGTTGTTTTATTATGGAGGTGCTCGTAGAAGGTGAACTCTTGGCAAAATCAAGAGTAAACTTATAAAAACACAAAAAGTCAACAATTCTTAATTGGAAAAGATTCTTGTTCATGGAGGCAAGACAACAAATCAATCTTATTATTAAATTCAAGAGATTGTATAATTAAGCAGCCACCTAATGTCCAACCATTATTATTGTTAAATATGTTTGGGACTTTAAGTTGTATCAACTAATCAAATAATTTATGTAACACTATATACTATCATCAATCCTATCTTCCGATTTAGTTTAAATTATTAATGAGTATGAACAGTTACATAAATTGCGCCATTTGGAGGATGTTGCAAGGTAGAGAAGAATGACTTTGGTATCCTAAATTGAAAAAGAGCAATACAGAAGAACAATCTAAAAAAGGTAAACTCAGTTTCACTATGTGTCACAATAAATGTCGTTTTGAGTTTTTAACCACAAGAGCTATCTAAGCCGGTAAGAATTATTGCATGACCTGCAATAATTTACTTAAAACCTATATTGATTCTTAATATTCCAATAATCTACGCCGGTAAGATTTCAAAGAAGTTTCGTACTTGTAATTCGATAGTCCTTAGCAATAATTAGATTAAAATAGAAAGTCAATAATCATAATTAGAATTACAAGTCCGAAACTTCTTTGAAATCTTATTATATCACATGGGAGATCATAATCACCATATGATCGAGATATGTTCCACGTTGGTCACAGCTCATAATGTCTCTCCCATTTTTGGTCCTTATATATTTATCCATTTTTACGTTCTTTGTTCTCTCCATATTAGGTTTCGCCATGAAAATTTGTTTTACTTATGATGTAA